GAGCTAATTGGAACAAATGAGGACTATTGGGGAGTTGAATATTCCTCCCTTTCCCCTCCAAAAGCAGAAGGGTCTTCCATATGCAGTCAGGACCCACAGTTTAAAAGCGCTGAAGGGGTCCCAAGTGGAAAAATTTTAAGAAGCCTTGCTCTAGACCTCTCACCATCACCACCCACCTCTCAGGCAGGCTCGCTGGACTCCACCTATCTGCACCCAACTCCCTGCCACGGCCTATCTATCTTTCTGTCCCTATCCCCAGCGGTGGCAGCTGCCCCAATAGTAAGGCTGGGGAATGGGGGGGTGGGGGTGATGGACCCCTCTCATTACATTCCTCTACCATAGCCCTTAGCCAGGAAAGAATAGAATCTCCCAATCTCCTCTGCCTGCTCCAATTCCTTCCACCGTGCCTACCCATAGCCTGGTATGACCAGACCTCCCAAAAGCTGATAAATATAAAAACATATAGATTTATACCAGTCACCCACTAGTCTAGTGATCATTTTCTCTAGTCAGTTTCTAGTGCACTACCCCAACTACTTTTCTTACTCCGGCTGGGATACTTCCATTAAAAGGTTTGCTGATTCGATCAGCCCTACTACTTTACAGTATTTAAATATAAAAAAAAAAATCTTGCCTCTGCGGCTCCACTTTCTCCTTGTTCTGTATCGATGTCCACATCTCTGCCCGTCCCTGCAGAGTTTGGACGGACTTCTCCGTGGCGTCCGTACCCCATCCCCCAATTGCACACGTGTATACATACACACACACACACACACACACACACACACACACACACACCCCTTCATTGTGGCGGGGCGCCAGGAGCCCAGCAATTGACCGAGTCTTTGTCTCCAAATTAAGAAATGTTAACTGGAAACGGGCAAAATCTTTTCCTTATTAAACAAACACAATTTGAGGCTGGTTGGGGTCTCGCCTACTCAAGTCAAAGTGAAGCAAGGACTGTGTGTGTGTGTGTGTATGCGGATCATCCAACCCCGAGATAGCTTCTTTTCCCATCTGTGCTGAGCCATGAATTTGCGCCACTTCAATGCTGCCTTGTAAGAAATGCCCTTAAATTCCGGCCAGAGTTCCAGCTTTGAACCACAGGGAAGTGAAGGCTGGAGACTCCCACCGCCCCCCCTCCAAACTGACCGCTCAGTTCCGGGGACTGGAAGGGTTTACCACCTCAAGGACCGTTTCCTCTACTTGCGGTTGTTGTTTTACGCCAGATTCGTTTCATGCGGGTTTTGCTCTTACTGATTTCATTTGGCTTCCTTCCTTTCTCTTCTTGCTTCTCTTCTCTCCTCCCCTCCTTCTCTCTTCCTTTCTTTCTTCCTTCTTTCCTTTCCTTCATCCCTCCCTCCCTTTCTCCCTACTGTGCTAGGCGCTGGGAGAGGTACAAAGTTTAGAGAAGACATAAGCTCTTGGAGCTTGCAGTCAACATACAGCCCAAACACAAATACCTGTAATGGACAGAAACAGATAACGACAGATGCAGCAGAAAGCTGCAAACCAAGTATTGTGCAAAGCTCACAGATCCCCTGCAGTATCACAAAAAGATTCAAAGACTATCCTTTCTGGTGTCTGGAGAAAGTGCTTTCCAAACCCAAATAAATCCTTCGCTGTCTCCCTGCCTCCCTGCCAGGACCGAGGACTGAGCCAGCTCTGAAACAGACCATTTTATTTTTGTTCTTTCCTGAAGTGCGCCTGCAGCCCTCGTTCAAATTCTCCAGGAAGATCCTAGTGGATTTCGCAGTCCATATCTCCGAATCCTGCTCTAATCTACTCGCTTTAAAAGATATTCAAATCAACGGGGTTCATTCAGTTCGCCTCAGTTGCAGTGTTGTGGGGTGTGTGTGTGGGAAACTGGAGAGAATTGTGGTAGGTGGGAATTTATAACGGTGACCTCTCCCCCAATTTTCATCCTCAAAGATCGCTCGTGCGCGCGCGCGCACACACATTTTAAAATGTTAACTCAGTGTTAAGAGCTTTTTTCGCTGGAGTTGAGAGTGGGTCAGGGGGAGAGGAAGTGAGGAATGATGCAATGGGATGAGCATTGCTGAATCTAAAAATCAAAAGACTTGTGTTCGAATCTCGTTTATGCTACGTACTGCCTGTGTGACCATGGACAAGGTACTCTCCATGTTATTTATTAACTTCCCAAGTTACTTGAACCTTTGAAAGGTTCCCTTTCTGTAAAATGAGCTGATTGGACTCAAAGACCTATATCCCCTCAAAATAACTGTGATGTATGAAAGGAGAGCACCAGCCGGGACTGACTTCGTGGACTTGACCAACAGAGAAAGCACGGAACCCAAATGTCCTAGTTTGAGGGCCACCTCTTGCCTCAATCACTTCGTGGCTCCCTTCCTCTACACACACCCAGACTACAGGGCATTTTCTGAAGTAGCACCGGACAGCCAGAATGCGAGGCGCCCTCACTGAGGGGGCCCCAAGCAGGCAGGCAGGCATTATTCACTATTTCTGTTAGCTGAATGAAGTAAAGGCCAAACAAAGAACGGCAGAGATTGGGAGCAATTATCCAGATATTTCAGGAAAGGGAAGATTTGAATGAGTGGTGAAAGTGTCTGGTTACTTTGTCCTGACAATGACCAGAGGTTTCGTGTCAGGTGTGGACTTCGCGTCTTGTGTGCAGCTTGAGAATCGGAAAGTGAAGACGCCGGAGCAACACGTGTTTATTTCGTTAGATAGAATGAAATGCACTAGAGCAGACATTTAAGCGCCTGCTGTGTGCAGAGAGGAGTAGCGTGCCAGATGACCCGAGAAATGAAGTTTAGATGACTGGATGTCCCTGCCCTCAAGGATCTTACAGTCGACCACAGATCGCTTTAAAGCACAATGATACATGCCGAGGGTCTCAAAGGGGAAAGCGAATGCCCCGGGAAGGGGGGGGGGGAGGAGCGAAGGTCGTTAATGATTGGGGGAATGGGTAGGAAGGACTCAAGAACCCTTCCTATATGAGGATGGCATTTAAGTGAAGTTTTAGAGGACGGGTTCAGGAACCTAACAAGCAAAAAGAAGGAGGAACCTCTCAGGCCAACACCAATCCAGATATTTCCAGTAAAAAAAAAAATCACTTGTGTCCCTGGAGGGTTTTCAATCAACCTGACCCGTTCCTTCTCTCATCATTTCAACAAAGCTTAACAATGAAGTATCTACTGCAAGTAACTGCCGGGGGTACAAAGCTGTGCTAGAAAGTTGGCTGAGACAGCAAAGACACAATCCTTGCTCTCGAGCTTTTGCTAGGTCTCAGAGGAGTGAGATGTACACATTCAAATCACGACGACCTAAGGCAGTATGTGCTAGGAGCAAAAAGGGGGTACAAAATGAGGTAAGACTCTTGGAGTGTATAAAGTCACGTGAGGAGATCAAGGCGGCCAGACAGACAAACTAGACACTGGTCCATATCTGCAGTCCAGAGGTAAAATTGATTTGAACAATAGCTTTCTTTCACCTGTACTGTGCTTTAAGGCTTAGAAATTTTTTCTCTCTACATCCCTGTGGAGTCGGGTTGGAGATAGGGGGTGGAAATACATTAAGTACAGAATGCTATAGCCATTCGCAAGAGACCTAGGCTCCCCAGGTGGATTTGTCACCAACTGGCTTCTTCAACTTGGGCAAGTCACTCCCTTTTCGTTTTCTTCAATTGCAAAGTGGAGAAGCTAATCCCTAATCTGCCTGTCCGCCAACCAAGCAACCCATCTACCTACCTGCCTGCCTACCCGATTCGTAGAGCTGTTGCTTGGATCTAACGGGCTAACAGAGATCGGTGACGGTCCTTCAAGCTCTGCACTGAAGGACAGGTCTGTAATGTGTCCTAGTCTCTCCCTAGGTAAATTGTAATGTAAGAGTAGACTTTTCTTGACTCAACTTCCCTCCACATTCTCCCCTTCTCCCTTCCTTCTGGAGAGCAGCCCCTTTCTTCTTGCCGGCCAGCTTGACCCTCACCACCTCAACACCTATTCTCTAGGTTGGTACATCGAAAGAGCAGTTAGATATAGAATCAGAAAACCTGGATACGAATTTCTACCCTGTTACTTCTTAGTCCCCTTCCGCAAATCGCCGAACTTATCTAGGGCTCGGATTGCTCAACTGCAAAATTAAGAGATTAGATGATATTCGAAGATCCTAGGAACCTAGAAAGGGAGGAAAATATTGCCTTTGTGCTAGCATCTATAAGTTCATTTCTCCAGATGACGGCGCGCAGGTAGCCTAATGGGGCAGACTTAACTAGGGCAAGTCTTAGACGGGGTTTTAGACGGCCAGCCAGGTGGGACTAGCTACAGCTAGTGTTACTTCCATTTGCATTTTTGTTTTGTTTCACCAGAACCATAGTCTTTCCTTCCTCTGCTTCAAAATCTCAATTAAGCTGTTTCTAAAATAAATTCCATGACGATGTCAAAATTCTCTTGGGAGAAGGATGGGGAAGAGCAGGGGTATCTGGCCCTAGGTAATGGTCTGGAGACAGGTTCTCTGTTTTCCGTTACAATACACATCCATTAGTTCCTTTAATCTTTACCACAACTTTATGAAATCTAAACTGGGAACATTTATCTCCTCCCCCTCAAAAAAAATTTTTCTTGACAGAGTAGGAAGTTAGGATTCCAAGAGGGGACTTGTCCAGGGTCATTACTGGCAGCACTAGGATGGGAAAGAACTCTGGTCCTCTGACTCCCAGTCCAGAGTTCTTTCATTTTCGAAAATTTATTGTGGTATAGGGGGAGAGGGGAGACACAAGAGTTTTGTTGCAGAGCCCTTGGAATAATATGAATTATTCTTTGCCATCATTTCTATCCTCAGAGGCGTTTGTTCTTTCAGTGGAAGAGTAGACCATAGTAAGGAGACATAACAGACTCAAATAGGATGGAGCCTACAGTAAAATATAATCACATATAATATGTCCTCCTTGAAGATTAATTTTCTTAAGTTACCCATAGTTTGTTTGTTTTTGTTTGTTTTCAGACGTATTGCCCCTGTCCCTCCAGGCTACATATATGGGAAACATTCGAGAGCTTGGTGAAGTTGGAAAGAGTACTTGACTTGGGAATAGAGGACTCCGATTCCAGTGTCGTCTCTGTTACTAGCTGAATGGTACTAGCTGAATAGCGACTTGGGCCAGTCACTATGCTTGTCTGGGCCTCAGTTTCCTCCTCTGTAAAATAAATGAAGGGAATTGATCTAGATAATCTCCAAGGTCCTTTCTTCTAGCTCTAAATCCCATGATAACTGTTCTTTGATTTCCCTCATCCACATTCCCCCTTGCCTCCTTTTCCAAAAACTCATTTACACCATTTCATAAGTTGATATTTATTTATCATCTACTGTGTGCAAAGTCCCTATGCAAGGCACAGAGCGAGATAATACACACTCTCTGCCCTCGGGTAGTTTATCCTCTAATATGAGGAAGAGTAAGCTGGGGGAAAGTAAGACAAATTACACAATTAAGGAGGATAAATGACTTGTTCAAAGTCACACAAACAGTGAGTAGTGGCAAAATCAGAACTCACATCTCAATCTGTTTCTATGTGTCCTATCTTCTTCATTGGTGAGAACCCCTGATGATTGCTGTCTTCCTACTCCCAGCAAGCTGAGAAGTGAAGATAAGCAGACAAGAAGAATGTCCTGGTTATGGGCAGGGAGAGGGGAAGTAAGAAGCCTTGGAGTGGGAATCAGCTCGGGATTCTAGTCCTGTCTCTGTCATTAAGCTACCTTTGGAGACTTTGCAAAGTCATTCACTCTTCCTGTACCTCAATTTCTTCACTTGCAAAATGGGAGACTTGGCATATGTCATTTGTCTCTAAGGTTCCTTCCAACTTGAAATCCTATGATTCTATAGCCTCCATATCCAGCCTTCTACCTCTCCCACCTGGCCTGTTTCATAGAGATTATGTTTCTAAAAGGGGATTGTGCTGAAATCTCAAAGCATCAAATTCAGTTCAATTTAATGAACATTTCTTAAATGCCTATCATGTGCAAGGGACTTGCTGAGGATACAAATCTGACCTGATGCTGAGATTGTCTTCCAGATGCTTACGATCTAGTAGGAGAGAGAAGGCTCTGTCTGCAGTGGTGGGGGACTATATGAGGTACAGAACACTGTGTGTAGTGTTAGACATAGTTACTATGTTCATTGGTTTTGTGGAGGGTTTTTTGTTTCCTTTTCAGTTTTTGTTTCAGGACATATTCAGAAATTAATTAACATAACAAAAGACACAATTTTTTGCAGGAAAAGAGGAAAATAAAATTAAGTTCCAAAACTTATTGAAATGAACTGCCAACTGGAAGAAATGGCAGAGAGAAGAGAATGGAGGTGCTGAACTCAAGTTGCCCTTTCAGGTGCCGGGGACTGGAACCTAAAACTCTTCCCATTCATCCTCTACCCCAGCGTCTGGGGTACTACAGTGGGTCTGGGACGTACTTAGAATCCAGGTGCCCCCCCCCAAGCCACTTGGGGTGGGGCAGAGCAGGTCATAGAAGAAGAAAAGTTAGGGGGAAGGATTGATGAGTGACTAGGGCTTGACAGCAGACAAAAACTTTAGAGTGATTGTGTCTGTCCTCTTTGCTTAAAGACTTGAACTGTGCCTGAAAGGAGGGCCAGGCACTGGGAATGTGATCAGAGGGAGAATTCCCAAGAATCAAAAGCTTTTCTGAATTTAAAGTTGCCATAGGAATGGGATTTTCAGGTAGCCCCAGGAAGTTAACCCTTCTCCTCCAATAAAGAACCATCCCAAACCTAAAAGCCCCTAGGGACCTGGGTTTCCATTTGCCCTGGTCTGGGCTCTGAGTTTTCTTTCTTGGAAAACTAGTTTCTATCCCTCTGGCTTAGTAGGTGTCCAGTTTCATCCAGGTTTGCTGCTCTTAAAGGTACAGGGCCCTCAGCTGGGAACTAACTTAACCTCTTTTCTTTCCATGCCACACCTACATACAACTCAACACCTGAGAATGACAGGACAGACTTCTTATTTTCCTCCTGTCCCTTCAATTATTTTTCTCCCTGTCCCTTACCCCAGTCCTAGATGATGCTATTTCTTCCTATGCTTAAAGCCAGTCAGAGATGCTCTCATTCCTTTAACCAGTCCTCACAAGGTGGGCACTCCCCTTGCTCAGACTCTTTGAAGAGATATGAGCATGAAAAGTGTTCTTGATCACAGTCCCAAATATGCAGGTACAGTAAGCAGATAGACTACTGTTTTGTTGGAGAATGAGGGGAGGCACAAGGTATCTAGTATTGTTTCCACAGAAGGTGGAAAGCACCCTGTGGTGCTTAGAGATCACTTTAATTTGACTTGCCCAAGCAGAGAGCTAATGGTGAACTTAGATTAAACCCAGGTCTCCTGATTCTCAGACAGAAACAACCTCCATCACCCCTGTGCCACTAAAGCATTGTTAGAAGAAATGAGGCTTCTGAAAGGTGCCACATTTAAGTAGCACGGGGCTTTACTTTTATTCCTGGGCTTAACAACCAATGGCAAGCAGGGCCATTAGTTGCAGACACAGTCTGATCCTCAATAAATGCAAAAACTTGTGAAAGCTTCTACCATTCACTGGGCAGCCCCTTGTTCTTGAACCATAGAATCCAAGAGGTGGGGGAAAGGGACCTCCAAGATCATTTAATTCAAGCCCTCAACCGGTGTAGAAATATTCTCTATACATCCCCTAGAAGTGATCATTCAACCTCCATTTTAACAATATGGAACACAAGTAATGTTACAAAGACCATATATTTATATGCATATGTACATAGGTATATATAAATATACTTACAGACACACAAACTTTAACCATATGATTTCAAGAAAATGAAGCTAATACCAGTCCAGTAGCAGTTACTGAGACAGTGGGTGAATGTTTCTGAAACATATATACATTTTTATGTGAATGCTACACGTGTGAGTGTGTTCACTGTAGTATACTTGGATTGTGCTCTTATTTTTATGCGTTTAAAAGCAATTATGATTGTGAGCACATTTGTTTCCTTGTGTTTACGGTGCTCAAATTCTCACTCTTAGGAAGCAAGGGAAGATCCTGATTTTCGAACTTTCATGGCCTTACTGACCCAATCAGATGTATTTCTGGGAATCTCTAGGAGACATTAAGGCCTCCACTTCCATCTGTCCATCACCCCCAAACTCTCTTAGGTCAGTGATTTGGTCGTTTGAGGGTTCATGCTCAGGGCTTTGGGCCTGAGGGGAAAGCGTAAAAGGCCACTGATAATGAGCCACTTTGAAAGTCTGACTCGGGGAGCCGGGAGCTGTGTGCCGGTGGCTGCCCCCACGCCTAATTTTGACTCTTTTCCCTGGCCTCGAAGTTGTCCCATCAGAAAGCCAGGAATTCTGGTATGGACAAGAAGCGCAGACATCTCTGGGACCCAGAGCGAAGACTCAAGGCACAGCGCGTGGATTCCCGGGCAGGTGCCCTGAGTGCTTATGCCTGCGTGTGTAGAAGGGGGTGTGTATTCAAAACACGTGAGCCGAGCTGGCTGGGCGCTGGTTTCCGTTCCTAACTCGCGGCTGCAAGCGACCTCCCTCCGCCCAGGATCTGTTTACCAACAACCTCATTAAGCACGGTTCGCCGCTGCACAGCCCCACATTCCGACGAGCTGAACCTGCTGCCCTGCCTCCCAAACCTGCAGCCGCCTGGCCCGCCCCACTCCGTCCCGCTGGGGCAGGGTAGGCCCGGGCCGGGACCTGGGCCTGGACGCAGGGTTGCAAACGGGGTGAGGGGATGCGAGTGCGGGGGCGGGGGTGGGAATGTTTGCTGATTTCGGAACATTTTGTTTCTTCCTGGGGGACGAGAAGGGCTCAGAGCCCTGCGTCCCTTGTCCCCAGGAGAAACAATAACCAGGCCGGCGGCCGGGAGGAAAGTGTCAGTGTAGGTCAGCTGCGCAATCCCCTGCACCTGCCTAACTGACTCCCTACCCCTGAACCCTTCTCTCTCCTCAACTACCTCTGCCCAACTGCGATTCAGAGCCGACTAACACAGGCCTTTCCTTACCCGGCCCCTCGGGTTCCAAACTACCTTCCCCGGGTGAGGAGCCTCTGCCTTCCAGGACTCTTGGGCTCTCCCCCAAGCCCCAGGGGAACTTAGTGGTTTTACGGCATCTCCCTCTCCATTGATACCCTGAATCCAGTACACAGATCCCACCTCACAACTTTCCTGAGGTGAATTACTCCAAAGGGTTGCTGGGGGGCGTGGTCGGGAGGGGGTTCAGTGACGTCTCTGAGCATTTTAGCCAATCCAGGATGCAGGGTGGGTGCCCCCCCCTCCCCGGGGCCCGAGAATCTTATCCTGCGAAGAAGTAGAGGGAAAGGGAGGGGGCTTGACGAACTGGGGTGGGGGGAGGGATAAACTGGGGGGTGGGGGCCTTGGCCCCCCTCCCACCCCCTCCCCCTCCTCGCGCTCTCTGCGGGAGGCGGCGTGGGGAGAGACTTTCCCCGAGATTTTAAGTTAGGGGGTGGGGGGGGGGGAGGCTCATCGGAACCCGGTGTACTGGGCTCGGGGAAGGGAGAGCGGCAGGAGGCACGGGGTAGAAGGAGGTGGAGGGAGGTTGGTGTTGGCCAGGCCATGGGTCCAGGTGCCAGGAATCTTTAGGCCCAGGGCCACTGTAACCATGACCTCTTTGCCTATCACCCTTCTGGGACGCGATGCCTCCAAAGCCTCCTTCCAGGACTTCCCGCCTGCCCCTCCGCCCTCACACTCCCTTTCCCCGTACCCCCGCGGTCTGCAGCCCTCGTCCCCTGAGCCCCGCGAGGGGCCCTACTCGGGAGCTTCGCAGTCGTACGGCTGCGCGGTAGGTTACCCTTATGTCAGCCCCCCAGCCCCCAGCGGCCCCCACCTGCCTTACCAGCAGCCCGGGACCGCCTCGCTGCATCTCCGTGGCCCTGCAGTGAGTCTGCAGGCGGTGGCAGGTAAGGCGGAAGCGCCGGGGGAGCGGGTTATCCGACAACAGTTTCCCCGTTTCTGGCGAATCCCGGGTACCAGCTTTTCACCCCACTACTTCGCCCTCCAAAGGTTGGGCGCAGATAGCGGGATTGAAATATCGAGTCGACCTAGGGTTGAGGGAGAGAAGGATGCGGAAGGAGGGGTGAGGGGTTGGCGGGTCGATCCCCTTCTCCTTTCAAGTTCGACCTGGTTTCGATTTGTAGTTAAGTAAAGCCGGGGCCGTTCCCTACCCGCTCGTGCCCCCCAACCCCATATCCACGCAACTGGGCATGTAAGTGTTGCTACGTGTAAAGAGAAAATTGAAACAATCCAGATGTATACTTTGGGAAAAAGTGGGGAGCGGGGATGCTTGTGTTACCATCATCCAGAACTCCCCAAGCTCCCCAAGAAAAAAATCGCCCTCTTCTTCTGACACCAGGAGCAACAGTCTTTCTAAGTGGTTCTTACACTAAACCCGTATTAAGAGAAATCACACCCTGGCCAGCGGTCTGATTATTCATGAGGTGGAGAGGGGGATTATTTGGGACATTCTTTCCCCACCCCCACCATCCACTAAGTTCCATGGAATTTAACGGAAAAAAAAAAGACAAGAGAATCCATTTTCCTATGAGGGAAGTTAAGTGGGAGAGACTTCGACACAGCTGAGGCTTTGGCGATTAAGGAACCAGGAGGTCTGGGAGTCGAGATCTTTTTTCCTCGCCCCTCCAACTTATTTCCATATCTCTGACCCTTTGGGTCCTGGCCTAAGTATACTCCTCTTTTAAGGTCTTTGGGTGAGAGTTATGTCATTCCCAAAACAATGGGGAAAAAAAAAACTCATGCTGGATTTTCTTGGCTCTCTCCCGGCTTCGGAGAGCCCAGCAGCAGCCTAACTGGTCTGTGAATCAGTCAATCCCTTGTCAGCAAAAGTTGTACAGAGTACACTGGACAAACACCACAAATAAAACATTATAGCCTCGGATGGATGGAGGAGCCATCAACCTTAGTAAAGATTTAGGGGGACTATCAGAGCAAGTAAGTACAGGCCATTGCACTTAAACACTCACAAGTTCTCATATAATTGCATGCACAAAGAAATATTGTCCCAACTCCCTCAAAGTTATGAAGACTTGTATATTCTATACACAGGTCATACTATTTGCACACCATCTCACATATACCCTGTGCCCTGTAAATACACCTGGTTGCACAGTTAACACCCCACATCACCTTCACAGGAGTTAGCCTAATTGTACCTAATTGCTCCCACAATTAGACTCTCACAATGATACACACACCCTCAGTAATCTCCTCCATTTAGTCTATCTTAGACTCACCATCTCCCAGCTTTCTATACAATGACACTCTCCTTCAGTTACATACCAAGTCACCATCCTTCACACAGTCACAGTAGGATTTCCCTGCCCAATCTTTCCTGATAGAGCTCAGTAAAAATACTTAAGAGCAGTAAAATGTCAGTGATGGGAGCCCCCTTCCCTCCATCATCTGGTCCAACCCCCTCGGTAGATAGAGGAGGAAACACCTATAGTGAGCAGCTTTTTAAAGATCACAATATAAAGTTAGTGGCAAGATCCAGGCCTTTTGATTTCTATCCAAGTCAACGTTTCCCCTGGATGTGGGGCATTCTGTCTTGTCTCCAAGAAGCTCTGATCTCCACCCTGGGTATTATGTCACCCATTCTTTCAGTCTCCAGTTTTTGAGAATTCTTTCTCCCCGGCACAGTGGTTCCTACACATCAGTTACCATCTTCCCTGAAAAGATCTGGCTACCACCCCCCCCATCCTAGAGTTAGGGTGATGTTTGAAGGAAAGGAAGGCAGGAATCTCAGTTCCTCCTGAATCACAATCCCTTTTCTCCATCATCTCTACTGTTTGGAGCAAGGATATGTTATGGTTTTGTGGTGGTGGTTTTTGTTTTTTTCCCCCTCCTTGGAAGAAGAAAACTGGTGTGGGTTTGCGCCTCTGTGGATTTGTTCTGTTGATGTTTTCTGATTAACTTTCTGATCCACCTTCTCTTGTTTCTCTTAGCTGAGGTCTCTGGGAAAGGACAGAATGAAAATCAGAAAAGATGGTGGATTTTTCTTGCTCTCTTTTCTCTCCCGGGTCCAATGAAGAAACATTTCTGACTGAGGCTCTTCTGTCTTTCTCACTCCCTCCTTTCCTCCTCACTAGCCTCCTGTCTTCACTTTTCCAGGAACCCAGACCCCATGCTCTGGAAACTGGGTGTTTTGTATTCCCTTTCCTTAGGGTAGGTACTATCTGTAGCACCCCCTTTCTGAGGGCTGCCTCTTCGACAGTGATTTCTGTGGCCTCTTCGCCTTGGAAAGGCAGTAGTCGGGACTATGAGAAAGGGTTTGCCTTTTGCTATTTGGAGCTGTAGTGACAGGATGTAATTTGAGGAGAGTCATCTAGGGTCTTTGGGGCGGCTTTTTAGGAGGCAGCTTCTCCAACAAAGGGAAGCCGACCTTTAAAATGAGGCTCAGTGATTGTTTGCAGTCACTAGGGCTGAACTTACTTGTTATTTTCAGGGTTTGCCACTGGGACCAGAGAATCATTGGGAGCCTGGTATAGACAGTGAGAAGGGAGAAAGGGAAGGACAGAGTAGGAGCTAATATTGGCTGCATGTTCTTGGGATTGTGGGCTCTGGGGGAAGCGCTTAGATCAGCTCTGCTGGTATCTCTGTCTCTGTCTGTCTCTTCAACTCCTCATCCCCTGTGCTCCCATTGTAGTCAGAGAAAATCGTAACTGCACAGGTGGTTCAGATTGGATTGTTGCTCTACTGTTTGTCCTGGACCATGTAGACATCATGGAATATAGGAAGCTGTGTTGGGAGAGGAAAGGAAAATAAAGTATTTTTTTTTCCTGGAAATTTGGAGTGAAAGCTTTTCTGAACAGTAAAGAGGAGCTACTAAGAGAGTGAAGCACCCTCTGCTGTGGTTGGTAATGTTTGGGTGGAGGGCAGGCAGCCTAGTCAGAAAATCAGTCTCTCAGGAGTGGGGAGAGAAGCAGATGGAGACCAGGATGGCAATGTTTTACTGGACTCAGTCAGAGACCACACAGTGAAATATACACAGATACACAGTTATCCTCCTGACATGTAGAAAAACACCCGGTCAGATACTGAGACACCCAACTAGATGCTGCCACACATGGACACACAAATACACAATTGCTGCACACACAGACTCCTTGACAAATGCAGATAACACATATTCAAAGAAGAAACCCATACAACTGAGAACAGACAAAGGGCAGAATAACAAGAGCAGGCATAATATAATTTACATGGTCCTCTAAGATTTACAAAGAGCTTCGGGGTTTGGGTGTTTAGAGAGGGTGCCTTCCAGGCCTTTAATAATGGGTAATGGAGAAATGGAATGGAAGAGGGGAAGAGAAATTTGCTTGAAAACACAGGGGATGTTTTGTTTTGCTCGTTTCCCAAGATGAACTGGCCACAGTGACTTTATGGACTGAGAAGCTGCCTCACCCAGGGCTAGACTGAGGAAGGGGGCCAAGGTGGGTTGGGTTTTGTCGTTCCTCTGGGGTAGTTACTGGGGAGTCAGGGCTCCCAGCCCCTGCTCTGCACAGTGCAAAACAAAAGTACCCCAGAGCCACCCACCATGGACCTGTCCCACAACTGGTCAGCATCTTACTTAGCACTAGCAATGGATTGAGGAAGATCTTGGTGATGCACCCTTAAGAGACCGATTTCCTTCCAATAGTAAAAACACTAAATAAACCTGGTGGCCAAAGTTGTAAGAAGCTGGCTCATCTGTAGGGTGTATAAAACTCCAGCCTGCAATCCAGCTCTCCCCAAATTGAAGCCATCTCTGGTACACTGTCTCTTTTTTTTTTTGGAAGTGGTTTTTTTGGGGGGTGGGGGAGGTGGGGATAGGAATGACAGCTTGGATTGAGAGAAAGTTAATCTTACAGAGTGTGAACCCAGGCAGGCAAGCTTTTCAAGATGGGAGAAGTCCTGGGTCAAATCCCTTCCTTCCCACTGAGCCTCAGTTTCTTTTTCAGTAAAATGAGAGGGATTAGACTCTAAAGTCTCTTCTAGTTTTTGATAAAATGTGGTTCTTGTGG